GCCAGTGCTTTTTGCAGTGAGAGGGAGAAGATTAGTAAACCCTTTAGGTGTGGGGGTAGAGACAAATGGCTCTGCTCTCTGCCTGGCTGGTCTCAACCTCTCAAGAAGCAGATGTGTGCAAGGCTTGGATGGAAACAACTCTCTTTGACCAGAGCCCTGGGGATCCTCACTCCCTAACGAGCATGCCTGCCTGCCCTGAGCATCAGGCTTTTGGCAGGCTTTGACCCAAAGGAGCAAGGGTAAAGCAGCTGGGCTCTGTTTATTCTCTGGCATGGAGCATGCGTGCGAGGAGAGGGATGTGCCCGTGCACATGTGCCGAGTGCAGGGGTGAGCGCTGCCACCACCACCCGTGTCCCAGAGCTGCTGTGCCAGCCCATGGCAGATGCAGGATGCTGTGCAGGGAGATCAAAGAGGAAAGCTGAAATGAAAAGATGACTGCCAGCAGTGGGGAAAAAGCCTTGAATTCCAGCATGAAGTTTGCTCCTTTCTTTCCAATCAGTGCACCACTAAGGACATGCATAAACCATATGTTAAAGGTGTTAGAGGAATGAATGTGGAGCACATGTGTTTGCATGAGCCTCTACCTCAGGGTGGACTGACTGGAGAGAAGTTAAGCACTCTGGGAGCTCCTGACCATAAGACATCAGACACTTTGGTTAGTTTGGTCAATTTAGACTGTCTGTGCACAGGAATTATGAATATTTTCTTCTACTGATTGAACCTCTAGAGCTAAATAATATCCCCCATAACCCAGTGACCACTAAGTTTGAGGTAAAACTTGAAGCTCACTAATATGTCTTGCAAAAGATAAGCAATGCTCCGTTACCAATGTATGGGGGAAGTAAAAAAAAAAATCCCTAAATGATTGTTCTGCTGACCTCAATATATCTTGTGGGAAGAACTTCCTAAAGCCCAAGAACAAAGCCTGCAGAACAGGAGACTTTAACCAGGTGATTTACTTCTCCTTCAGAGCACAACATTGCTTATTGGGTTTTTGTTTGGTTTTATTTCCCCTTTTCCCCCACTATAGTAAACCAAACCAATTACATTTTTAATCCAGGATAATAAAAAACCCCACACATGGAAGGAAATAAGGCTGGTGATGCCTTATTGTTCCCGTGTCATAACCAGGGAGTATTACTGTGCTGGAAGAGCTGCCCTGTGTTGCTGCCAAGGGCAGTTGGGTGTTTGGTACAGCTATAGCATATATTCATTCAAGGAATTTGGGGTACTTGATGAGAAGACAGAGAAGAAACCTTTCCCATCAGGATTAATGGAGAGAGACTGGTTTCACTTGCTACAGTTCATTATAGAAAATTAGCAATGACAAATCACGTATGGCTGTGAGAGGCAGGGTGCTCTTTTCACCTTTTCTTTCTCATTTAACAAAACCAAGCAGCACTACATTGATCAGCACAAACAACCAAGACAAGAAGTGCCTGATGGCTTACTGTTGGTTGGATTTCTTTGGGCTTTCCTCTGTTGCAGAGGATGATGAGCACTGCTGCAAGTGGCTGTGCTGCCTCTCAGGCTGGAGTGCTGTCCAAGTGCTGTGGCACTGCCTCTGCTCCTGGGCCACCATGTCTGGTGGCCTGTCCTCCCTGGTACTGCACAATGGCATGTGTCCCTAGCTCCTGAGCCCATTTAACCTGCCTGCATGTAAGAGGGAAGAAATTTGGCTCATAAGCCTAGGCTTCTCCCTAGCTGGGCTGTGAAACATTTTGTAATAGCTTCAGCCTTTGCTTCCTGTGGAAGATTTACAGGAAGGCCTTCCCTAGCATTTGGTTTTACTTGTCCTTTTGAGCTAAGGTCAAGATCAGAGAATAGACTTTCCCAACTTGCTGACACCCAGTTGCTCTGTCCTCCAACTCTGCTCTGAGCTAAGCACTATTTCATGAAAGCATTTCTTTTTCTGTGCCTCTATTATTTTTTTTAAGCTAGTAAGGAAAATACATATATTTAAGGTAAAGCCCCGTGACTATTTTTCAGTTCTACAGGTATCATACAGGCTGTATAAAACTGAATAGTGGTGTTTTCTGTTTCAAGTGCATTGCATCTGGGATGCAGAATCACAGTTTCTGGGGGAAAAAAAAAAACCCCACCAGTGGATAATTACTCTCCCTGCTAAAATTTTTTTTTCTTTTTTTTCCTTCTTTGTTTTGTGATTTCTGCTAGATAAAACAACCAGTAGGCAAATCTTTCTCCATGTAAATACTAAAGGACATGAGTGGGTCACATTCTGGGCTTTAGTTGGTAAGCTATCTGTGCTGAATTTTGCTGGTCTTACAACTTACATTAGTTTGCCCTAATTTCCAAAGAGGTTCTTGTACATCTTTTTCTGAAACCTCACTTGCTTTTACTTTATGGGGGCACAGCAGAGTTGTCAGTGCTTGTCTGTACTGTGTACAGATGCAATGCCATGTTCTTGCTCTTCAGAGTTGCCCATGTAAGTGAGGAAAATAGCTGGATCAACCAGTCAGCTGCTGCTCCAGGAAGTCATGTTATTGAAATTAAAGGAGTAAACTGTGATACAGCCCTGAAGTTCTACCTGTAGAGCTGTGCCTGGCTCCCTGCTGCTGCCCCTGAGCCTTGCCCTGGAGCTGCTACTACAGGGAAACATGAGAATGGGCACAAAACTCTAGGTTTTGGGATTGAGCTGATAGAAAAAATCTTAAGCCTACTTTGACAGGAAAACAGAGAGGTCTTTCCTTTGGAGTTTCAAAGTCTCAGTGTGAAAAAAGTAATAAATTCAAGGTCATTTTCTTCCTGTAAATTGGATCGTCACTGTGAAAAGGTCTCTCAATTTTCCATTTCTCTAGTGAGATCTATCATGTGTCTCCTACCTGTGCCTCACTACTTTAATATTCTCTCTCTCTTGCCACTTAGTATTCCTGTATGGCTGGTTTAATTTTAAACAATTTATTCAACTTTGCAGGTGATTACAAGAACAAATAGTCTAGTGTTGTATTGACATTATGTGTCTTTGACAATGCCCCAACAACCCCTTCCCAAAGACACTGCTCTTCCAGATAAGGAAACAAGGAAAGTGTGACTGAACACCATGCATGCGCAGAGTTCAAACATTTCCTTACTCACTCAACCCCAGATATTCTTTTCCCAGGCCTCATATCCAAGTCTTCATTAGAAATTTGAGAGAAATGCTTTACTGTGGCTGCTGGCTTGGCTGCTTTTCAGGTTCAGGCAGAATCTCCTTTATTCACAGGCCCTTTCTTCTTATTATTTTTTAATGCTTCTCCAGAAACTTGTATTATCATCTTTAGCAGTGCAGAAAAATATTCACTATTTTAGAGCTTCTTTGTAGCATGGTAATTTCTGAGACTAAAAAAAAAAAAAAACAAAAAACAAAAACAAAAACAAAAAAAAAAAAAAAAAAAAAAAAACACAAAACAAAAAAAAACCAAAAAAACCCCAAAAAACAAACCTCTTTGTCCCAGCCTCATTTTTAAGAGGATAGCAAACTAAGAGGATACATGAGGATTATTCTAATCTCACCTTGGAGCTCTCTCCAGCACTACTGCCTATCTGGGACCCATTATTGAACTGCCTTCTCCAATGCTCTAGAAAACAGGCACTTATCTTGATTTAACAAGTAATGATAGCAAAAGCCTGAGCTGTCATGCTTTAGAAATAATGGATTAGCTAATTGATTGCGAAAAGCAATATTAGGCTGGAGCTGAACACCCTTTGGAGTGCTCTCTTCTACTTGCTTCAGTCTTTAGTCCCTTGAGAGCATGTTTGTACCGTGAGGGGGGTATATTCAACAAAATCGACCACTCTTCCCACAAAGGGACTGCTAAAGATGAGCTACTTTTCCTCATCTTGCAGCTCTCTTGGAGCAGTCCATTGTGTGTGCTCTGGAAGGGCAAGGGAACTGGTGAAGCGTCTGGAGCACAAATTTGATGCGAAGAAGCTGAGGGAGCTGGGGGTGTTCAGCCTGGAGAAAAGGAGGCTCAGGGGGAACCATATCACTCTCTACAACTGCCTGGAGGTTGTAGCCGGGTGGGGGTTGGCCTCTGCTCCAAGGTAACAAGTAACAGGATCAAGAGGGAATGCCCTCAAGATGCACTCTAAGTGTGACGGGAGGTTAATGTTAGGTATCAAGAAAAAATTCTTCACTGAAAGGGCTTTTCAAGCAGTGGATCAGGCTGCTCAGGGAGGTGATAGTGTCACCGGTGCTGGAGGTATTTAAAAGATGTGTTGATGTGGCACTTATGGATGTGTTTATTGGTGCACTTGCTTGGCAGTGTTGGGTGAATGGTTTGGCCCAGACTTAGGGTCTTAATCTAAATTATTTTATTATTCTGTTGCTGTAGCAAAGGGAAAAACACCAAGCCCTATTTTCTTATGTAGTCTTTAAACCTTTTGGGTCTGGGCTTTAAACCTCTTGGGTCTAGGGACAGCACATGACCTGGGCAGGAAAGCAACTTCTTTCTGGAGATTTTCATTGTTTGCAGGTGGTGGGAGACCAGTCTGCCCAGAAGTCAGAATTCTAGCAACAATGTATGAAAGTGGTCCTTGGGACACTATGCACACTCTCCTACCTCCCATCATGGCAATGAATGTGTGTAAGAGCACAACTTTGACCTCAGATATTGCTGTAGCCAAGACACAGTCACACTGCTCTTCCTCCAGCCCTTACCCAGGGGTGAGAAACTGAGGGAGGACTCAGCTGCAGAGCAAGACTGAGTCAAGCTGGGACCCAAGTGCAGGTTTCACCTGTCTGTACAGTTCACTGTGTGATACTTATTTCTCCCTCTCATACTGAAAAGAACTACATGTTGCTGTCAGGCTTTAGTCTTGAAGATCTCTTTAGACTGTTTTCAAAAGACATAACAGGCTAGCCCAAGCAGATGAATTACTGCTGTCAGCAGCACAATAATAGTCACACACATGGTTTCTTTCTGCTTTTCTCTCCTCCAGTCCCCGTGATGAAACTTCTAAAATGCTGTACACGGCACAGAATGCAAACAGACATTGGGTTAGTTAAAAACATACTTCTCTTTATTTGAAAGTTTTCTATTCACAGATAAAAGGCAGCCGATACATTGCATAGTGTACCTTTTTTTTTTAAAGTATGCTTATTATCAAATGTGTCTGAGAAAAGGGATGGTTACTGGCTCTAACTTCCCACAACAAACAATGAAGTTAATGGAACAATAAATTAAAGGAGTAGTAGTAGTCCACATTACATATAAAATAGATGTTAACAGATACAAACATAACACCAGTGATGACTGATTCAGTTTCCCTTCTCCTTAGAAATTCAGTATCTTATTAGAGTGGTTGCCTAAACTAAGTTTTTATTAAGATGCAATAGTGCTCTGAAGCTTTGAAACACAAAAGCCATACAGTTTTTTTAATTGAATGGGAATGTCTTCAAGAAATCTTGCTAGTGGGAATGAGGATGCTGTTCTCCTGCCCCTGTGATGGTCGGGTCCTATTCCTTTTGTTGAGCCCTTGCTGCTGCAAGAAGGTAGACCTGATGGTTCAGCTGTAGCTGATCCTGGTCTAAGGCACTTCTGGGGCCTAACAACTGTTTACATTGGAGGCACTAAGTATTCAAAGGACAAAACTCTGCAGGGTGGGAAAATGAGATGTCATGAAACCTTAGTTTAGTGTACTGGCCATCATCTCTGGGACTGGTGTCACAGTCCTACACAAATGCTCCTTGCTGGAAATGCAGTACCTGGGCCCTCTATGGTATTGAACCCCAGGGTGTTAAAGAAACAGTTTTAAGAGCCGTATCAGAGTGCTCTCTTTCTTCTTTACCTGAACTCATGTGGGTTTCCATGAGTGCTTTCTGGCAGGCAGGTTTTGCCCTGGAGCTGGTCCTGTGCGTGGGCTGAATGTCAGGGCGCCACCTGCACTTGTCTCCCGCCCTGAGGTGGAGGCAAACACCTTGTTCATCTGTTCAGGGGAGCTTCAGAAAGTGCCAGAGCTGTGGTGGGGAGGTAGGTATTGAACAGGGACATGGAGAGACAAACTTGTCAAGCAGAATAGCAAGAGATCTCCATTAGAGAACCGAGTAGCAGAGTCCATGCAAGCTGGAGCTCCAAGAGTCTTTACCACAACGTGGATATTGGCCCATATATTACTCAATGAGAAGAGTCAACCATGTTCTGAATTACAGGGCTGTAACGCAACCCTGAGGATCTGATGACTAGAAACCACCTGAGCTCTGCTGCCCTGGTTTGACAGCTCTGGAGGCAATTATAATCCTGTTGTATGTCTCAGCTGCCTGGCACTTTTTTTTCCTCCCTCCTTCCATACTTAACACTGAGGTAAAAGTTTCAACTAGCATTAAAACACACAAAAAATGAACAGGATCTTAGTGGGAAAGCAGTCCAATGACCTTCAAACTTTGCAAAAACACAATGTGGCTATAAAATGTAACTGAAGTAGAAGAGTAATTCTAAAAATGTCAGAAAAACAGTATCAAAAAAGTACAGTACTCAGTTGCAAGACATTTTCTATTGTATTTTTAAAAATTAAGATTAAAAAAAAATTCTCCCTCTGCAACAGAATTTTTATGGTATCAGAGATATACTGGTATCAAAGTAGAAGTACACATGAATTTTTGAAGACATTAACTCTTGAACAATCATCCAGTTGGCTTCAGTTGAATATTGCTTTTATTTCCTATAAAAAAACATGTTTAACTATGCATGTGTATATATTTACATATGTGTCTTGCAAAAAAATCTGTATTCCTTCTGAAGCTTACAAGGAAGATCAAAGTAACGGTAGTAATCTTTACAAGACTTAAATGACTTTTTGTTCATACAATATTTAAATATAAGCAACACAGATCACCAATGTAAGATTTTTTTTTTTTTGCTTTACAACCCCTGTATTACTAAAGAAAGTTTACATTAATACCTAAATAAATTGAATTAAACTACTCCTGTAGGGGCTGCTGTTAGTTACCTCCACTGTACTTAATACCACAGAGCAAATGAGATCCAAATTTCAGTTGAAAGAACATGGTTAGCTTGAATTTCACCTATTGATTTAATTATTGGCAGGAATGTGAAAATACATTCAGTGTAAGAAAGCTGTTAAAGCCAAAGGGGGGGAAAAAAGTTCTTATTATTCTTAGAGCTCTTTTCCAAGAAATACTAGATGTTCCAGCTGTAATGCTGCGTTTTTAAATCAGGGGAAAAAAATCCATGAGTAGAGGAAGACAGCGTTTATGAGCCTTCAAGGAGAACACTTCACTGACATTAAAGGCAACTTTGCAGACTCACTTGAAATGTATCAATTTGTAATCTACACATTTACAGGAGCTGCTCTGCTCTGAAAGCTGTTTCCCAATCTGTGCCAAAACATATGAGCCTGCGTAGCATACTTCTGATGATAGACCTCCAGGCTCTGTTTCTCCATAATTGATTTAGTTATTAGTTATGCAGGGGAGAGAAGAGATCCCTGAGGCTTAGTAAAACAGTATTCAGTTACTAAAAGCAGCCCTTTGTGAATTAATGTCATCCTACCAGCTCTTTCTGCTCATTATTCCTTTCAGTCTTGTTTTCCTGGACACCAGCTGTCACAGAGGAAGTCTCCAGCCTTTTCTTCTCCTGCCTCCTTGGCTGACTGAAGTTGCACCAGCACGGTCTGGAGTGTCTCCTTCACCACCTGGATCTCCCTCTGCAGAGACTGTGCAAGCTTTATTAAGGAATATTCTATAGGTGATTGGCAGTCCCTTTTCTCTTTCCAAGTTATTAAGTACATTCTTGATCTGCTGTTCACAACAGATGGCCATGGCTATCTAATTGTAGCTTCAACTTCTTCCAAATTGTTTGGATTAAATATTAATACATTTCTCACACTTGCTAGCAAAAGAAAAATGCAGGCAAACTCAAGTTCTCAAGTAGCATTATTTAGCAGTTTAAAAAAGGGAGGGGATGGGGGATACTGCTTGGATGCTCTTCTCATGGGAAGAAAGGAAGGAAAGAGACAAAAAATATTGTGTGCCATGGAGGAAGCAGCAGTAGTTCCCTGATGGATGGAGGCTGGACTTTTATGCCAGAGACACAGACCAGGTGAAGGCAACAGGAGTAGTCTGAAACAAATGCCAAGTGACCACAGCTTGTGTGGCATTAGTGAACTCAACAACATGTGCTATGCCAGGTGGGGTGGGAATCTAGGTAAGGAGCAAAATTAGCTTACAGCAGAGAAAGTGTTTCTGCTACACTTACCTCCAGAAAGCTTTCATGTTAGGTGAATTATCATTATAATTATAGTGCAGAACACACAAACAAAGCTGTACGAGACTCCACAGGGAATGCTTTGAACAAGTTGAAAAGCAAAGAGGGCAGTAATGAGGTTGTACTGTCGTGCATTAAAAGGAAGGCCACCTGAAAAGCAATAATTGGTATAAAACGCTTCATTTGGTTAAGAAAGAGTTTTCCACATTTTATTTTCCTCTGTCTAGTTCAGGGTTCCTGCAATGAATTCAGGAAGAAGCTGATGGTTAATGGCTCCATCTCTGAAAGAGACCTTCCACTTCCCTCTTTCCCATCTCCAGAATGATGAGATGGAGATCATGTGGTGGCAACAAGGGGTGCAGCAGGGAACAGACTGACAGATGAAGGTAGGACATTCACAGAGACAGTAGCAACCACTTACATGTGCACAAGCCTTTAAGTGGCTAGGCTTCCTTGGCTGTACAGCTTTTCTATGACTGGGAATAAGTTTGTACTACCAATTATACTGGGCTTTCTGCTGATAATCTTAAATCAGCAACACTATCCATTGTTGGAAGAAGTCCAAGCTCAATGAGACAACCAATTTTATCCTCTCTTCTATAGCTTCTCCTTTATGTGAAGAAGAAAGCAAGCAGAGGCAAGTCAGAGCCTGCTGAAATGGTAAACCAATGACCAAGTCTATGAACAAACCCTAGGGTCCATCCCATCCCACTGAGGCCTCCTGAACAGGTATGGATGAAGGGCAAAGGCACCAAAAGACAGAAATTGGTCTAGCAATAGACCAATTTAGCAGTATGTTATCAAATTATGCCAGAATCTCACTTCAAGGGAAGTGAAACAGGATGACACTGAAACAACTCTGTTTCAAAAGTACAACACACAGAAATAATAATGCACAAGGACAATCTGTCCTTTGCAGAGCTCATACATTAGGAAATGCTGTTTTACTTGACCCCAATGTTAATGCAATGTCAAGGAAAAAAGATGGCCTGAGGTTATGTGAGTGTAAATACTAAGCTGCTACTTTTGAAAAATTGTGACTGGACCATGGTAAAGCTACACCAACCACAGCTCTTTCAGTCAACCATTATTATGTCTTTGGAAAGTCTTGTCTGCTTTTGATTCTGTTATAAATTCCCTAAAACTTCATCTTTGTGTATTTACATGCATTTGCTATGATGTTTTGCTCTTAATATGTTCATGCATAATTCTAATTTCTGGACAGCTCTGTTAATCTAAAGCGCTTCTGTCTCTGATTATGTGTAGTAGCAGTACACACAAAGCTTCTCCTATCCCAGGATCAAAAAGCACTGTACAAGGACAAATTAATTATGCTTTGCATCTCCTCTGAAGTAAGAAATATTATTATCCACTTCTAAGTCCTGGATTCTCCACCCCTCTGCAACTTAATCATGAGGCTCTGCTGAAAACCTTACTGTTAAACTGTTAATCCTGCAATCCATGAACACCATAAACCTTCTGAAGTTTAATTCTGATGTATAGCCTCTGACTACATGCTGTTACATGTATATCCCAGGCAACTACAAAAATCTTTTCAGGAAGAGAGAAAAAGCAAAATTGAAATGTTTCAGTGACAGTGGATGAGAAATCTTAAAGGATGGAAGAAAATGAGGAAGACAGGAAAAAACCTGTCAACCAACAGAAGGATGGAGCAACAAAAAAAATGTGACTGCATAGTCTAAGTACAGCAAGTACCAATAACCTCATACATAACACCACAATCATATGTAGACAAGTAACTGTCAAATGTGCCTTTATGGCTAAGTCAAATATATGGTATATGGCTGAGGATGGCATCTCTACCCACACACAGGTTATATCTGGAGAAACAGCTTCACTCATTTTAAAAATGCAAATAAACAGTTTCGCATGGGTCCACATGCATATGTGTCCTTCATGCTCAAATTCTCTATCCAGTGCTGCAAATATTGAGCCAGTATCCAAGGCAGGAGAGAAAACAAGTTCCAGCTAGGAATATTTTAATATTTTCTGGTTCTGCTGTCTTCCTCTAAAAACTGAAAAAAACTCCACAATATCAAATAAGCAGTAAATTAAATTACTTGTGAACAAGTACAACCCATATTCAACAATGCTGCAGGTCCAATGCTGCATTGTCTTGCTTTATAAGCTTTTCACCTATTAACTTTGTCTCTTTGAAAAACTTGAGAATCATCTCAAAACCCATGATTTGCAAGCAGATAAATGCAGATCAAATTACTGTAGAGACTTATTTAAGTTTTAGAAAAAATGGGATCATTTTGCTCAAATGGAGCTTCTGATCTCTCAGCCCAGATGTTCAGGGAAAAGAGACAAAAAGTAGATGTTATCGATCAGTTGCCTTCTTATAGGAAAGGTTAGAAACTGAGAGTACATTTTATGAGATAAAAGACATTGAAAGGACAATGAAGAATGACTGCTCTGAGATAAGGGCCAATGGGATTTTGGAAAGTAACTGCATTTTTGGGACATCTGAAGAAGAAATTAGTTATTAAAGAACAGAAATAATCAAAAAGAGGCTTTTGGTTGGGTCTTTTCTTGTTTCTAACCTGGTCAACTATTCTGCTTGTTTCCAAAAGCCAAACTCTACAGTGCCTGCAGACAGAAGCTCAGCCCAATGTGCCACCACCTAACTGCAAGTGTCACTCCTAACCCCAGGCACCAGCACCCATGGGGGGTCTACTCCAGATGGAAAACAGCTCTGTAGAAAAGGACCTTGAGGTCATGGTGGACAATAGACTGTACACCAGCAATGTGTCATGAAGCAAAGGTACCCAACAGCCTCACAGGCTGGATTAACAAAAACACAGCCAGCAGGCAGAGGGAGATGATCCTTCCACCCTAATCAGCACTGCTAAGGTCCCATCTGGGTGTTGTGGGTTCCACAGTGAGAGAGAAGAACTTACTGGAATGACTCCAGCGTGGGACTGGTTTAATGGATTTGAGTATCTGTCACATGAGGAGATGTGACTCTTCAACCTGAAGAAAAGAAGGCTCACAGGATACTACCACTGTGTATAGCTGAAAGGCAGGAATGAAGAAGAGGGAGCCAGGCTCTTCTGACTTTTTTGTCCATGGACAGAACAAGAAGCAATAGGGAGAAATTCCAAAATAGAAAATGGAATCTGAATACATGAAGACATTTTTTTGTTTGAAGGTGGTCAAACACTGGACTGCGTTGCACAATCAGGTTGTGGAGTGTTCATCCTTGGAGATATTCAAAATCTGACTGGACAACATCCTGGGCAACCTCCTCTAGGTGACCCTGCTTGAGCAGGGAGTCGGACCAGATGATTTCAAAAGGTCACTTCCAACTAAACAATTCTTTGATTGTGTGTGTTACATGCCAAAGGACCAGTGAAGAGCCAAGACAATTCAGTAAGTCTTTTGAATGACTTGGGTTTTGGCCTTTTTGAAGAGCATTCTTGGGAGCAAGGGAAAGATACTAAGCAAGTCCCTGATGTTTCTGTGTGGTGTCACAGCAAGAGAGTAAAATGGCCTTTGGAAATCAATCACTTCTTCTTACAAAATTCAGGGATATTTGCAGTAGTGCAACCAATTAGAATTTTCTCAATTACCCCCTTGATTACTGTTGCCCTCCTTCACATCCATGAATGTTGTTTATATAAACTAAGATAATGTCCCTCCCACGCAAAACCCAAAATACTCCCCCAAAAACTACTAAACAAAAAACTGCAACAGAATGAGTGCTACATCTTGAAAAATTGAACCCTTCAGTGTTCTGAATATCATTTACTTTCAAATTGCTTGCTCCAGCAGAAAATGGAAGGCAAATAAATTGCAGCACCTGGTGGAAATACACTGACCTACCTCTATCAGAGCATAAACGATACAAGTGGAACTATGTTCTCGGTGTGGCACACAGTGGGAAGAGCTCACCCTTCTGTCATCTAAAATAAAATCAAAGAGGGTGCCATTGCCACCTCTGACTCTTGGAGAATCCCAAAATCTCTTACAGGTCCACCCAGAGTGAGATTCCTCACTGAGCTACAGACAGGGCTAAATTTTACATGATTCTGTTGAAAACCTGCTCTGGTGTAAAACAAGACTTGTATGGGAGCCTGCTGCAGGATAAAGGTGAAAGGTTAGCAAAGTGAGATTTAATCAATGTTTAGGCACAAAGTCCTGCTTTCAGAATAACTGATTAAAATGCCTATTTTAGGGCAAGGAAAGATTGTTTTTGTAATAATATTACAGCCAGGTTTTCTTCCAACAAAGCATTTCCACCAAGAGGAATTATTACATGCATTCAAATTGTCTATCAAAATGTAACTACTCATTAAGAACAAAAAATGACTGTGAAATTGCAATATAGGTTCCATTTAATTTTAGTGGGAATTCCAGGCCTTTACTGTCAGGAAAGTAACACCTCTCATCAGCTCTGCAGACACCATAATGAGTCACCTCTCATCCTTTGGTTTTTCCAATTAATGATGTGGACTATTTTCATACACTCATTAATGATCAACCATAACTGAATATTTTGTAGGTTTATTTGGTTATACTACATAGAATTTAGCAAATATGTCGTAGTGCTACAGAGAACTTTAACATCCAGTCCCATGCCCCTACTGTTTGATGCTTTTTATATAGAAGGGCAGTTAGTGGTTTTTATGAAAGATTTAAACAATAAATTAGAATTGCAAGTGGGTCTGTGCCTATACCCAGGGCCAAGAAATATCACTGGATTTCTCCTTTGTTCAGATCAGGGTGCTGGCACTTATGATGAGCAGCATGGTTGATTTAAGTGTGCTATGCCATCAAAACATAGAATGAAAAACAATGACATCTGCATTTTTTCTTCCAATACAAACTTAATTATTAATCAAAGCTATGACACACACTAAACATTAGAAAATGACTCTAGAGCATCAGGAATTTATTTTTCTCAGTGGAATCTTTGGAAGTCTTTTAATAATCAGACCACAGGAGTAATTTACATCTGTGCAGCTCCCAGTTAGATTTTTGACCTAATACATTTTGTAACATTTATGTGTAAGGCAGTTTTTTGGGAGAAATATGGGAAGAGTGAAAATAACCAGTGAATGTACTTGGAAAAACTTATCTAATTTTCATTACTATTTCAGGTCTTTAAGTTCTTGCTCTCAGAATTCTACAGATTTTAATGAAAACTGCATGATTGTCCAGTATCTGTGAGAGGGAATAGTTTTATCTAAAATCAAACAGATTACCATGCAAACAACAGATTCTACTGAGGCTAGTTGTTGTCTCTTAGCTTAGTGCTGGTTCCTGCAATACAGGCAAGTTATCAATGAGTGAAAGCTAATTTTATAGGCACTGAGAAGTCTTTATATTAAAAAAACAACCTATCTACAGGTCTGTAGCACTATGGTAGCTATTTTTCTCATTCCTTTTTGAAGCACAGCACAGTGATTATATGTACCAGATAGGAACATTTTATGCACATTGACCTGGACTACCTCTGAAATAGCAACTTGATGTTAATGAGGGGTAGCTGAATTGCTGAACTGTTTCTTTGTACATCTCTGTGTTTTAAACATGGTTTCTTATTTTGTAACTGATGGTCTTGCTAGGATCAGGATATCACAAACTGTGCATTTCTGTATTTAGGCAACATGAGCTGAATTTCACTGATAGAGGAAGTCAGATCTCTATCAGAAAACTGTGGCTTAAAATTAGGTTAATCTACAACTCTCCTGAAATTTACAATTACTAATTTTACTTTTTAACTATCTCTTGCAGTGTCAACAGCTGTGAAGAAATAGGCACGCTCCATAGAACATAAGAAACACTACTATTAAACATATATGCAGTGTATTATCTTCTGGAACCAAAAATGCAGTTTTCTAGTTTATTTCACCTTATCTAGTAAAGTTAAACTATGATCAGATGTGACTGTTCAGTTTGAATATTAACTTAAGTCCCCTGCAAAGAACCTATAACTCCAACCCTCAGTGTTCTTCTGTAAGGGCCACTGAGAAAGCCCATTTGAGAGTAGATACACACAAGGGAGAAAGGAATTGGATGCTCTGCACACACACACAAGACACACCCATACAGCTCTGAGAAGAATGCACTGGGGAAACACAACAGCAACCAAGAGTGAACACTGCAAGTATAATGAAAAGAATGTTGAATAATCTTTCTGTATATTGTGTGTATATGGAAATGCTTAGAAAAGAAACATTTATAGTGACAAATTACTGACTGGATTTCTCTCCTTCAACCCAAATCCCCTTCCCCCAGCACCATTCCTCCTTCCCTCTGCCCCTTGCACTTTATCCTTCTGCTACCTTTAAAGAAATCAAGTTTATATAATAGGAATTCTGCAACGACTTGTAATAGATGCCCAACTGCTTAAAACACAGTAGTATTTCCACACACTATTTATTCTCCTTTCCCTAAACTATCCTCTGTAGGACTGTCCACCTTCTCTTAGCAGGAAGTGAATCCTTTCTAGCACCATCATCACCCCTACTTACATTCAGATGTCTCCAAGAGTTCCTCTGCTAATCTCTGCAGCTTGAACATATCTCTCTTTCTTCATTATCCTCTCACCTGCCACCTCTTCTCTACTAAAACCTAACCAGCTCAGTACTCTCATCTTCCTCAGCTTCACTGGATCGTACTTTCTTTGCCCTTTCTTAGAAGAACAAAATCCCTTTTATGAAAATTTTTCCTATGAAAGTTGCAAATGAAACAAAACTTCATGTTCTTAAATTTTGAAAAAATGGCCAAGGAATTCCTCATAAAGATTAAGCAATCTTCAGAAAAACTGACAGATAAAGCACAGAAAAAGACAAGAGGGCATAAGACAATATCTCATTTGGTTCCTTGCATTGGTGTTAGAGGCAGGTGTGTAGAATGCCACATGATGGATCTGTTGCCCATTTTTTTTAAAAAAGAAAAAACCACAAACTACAGGTGACAATATACACAGTCTGAGTCAATAATGTAGCATCTAATTCAGCTAAATCATGTTGGGAAATGAAGGTGCATGGACACTCATTCATATCCATGCAGCCTTTGGTGTGCTACATGTTTAATTATATGAGCATTACCAACAAAGGGATTTTAACAGTAAAATAAAGGCTTTTTAGTGCCCATTCTAAATTTACAAAGAACGAACTTCTGTTTAAATCAATTAAAGCTGGATCAGATCACAGTGAAAATACACTACAGGAAAACTTACTACACAAAAATGCCATTTCAGCAAGAGGAAAATTTCTCCCATTCTTAATACATCTAACCTACACTAAGAACTAGCATTCCATGCCAGTCTGACAGGCAAGTATCTCATGTGCATACTTACAGAGATTGATACGTATCTATAGCTATAGCGAAAAGGATATGAATAACTCCTTCATCAACTCTGCAGGCGGAACTTTGCAATTGATCTTCCAGATGCACCAATTTCTCACTTATTGCTTCACATTTTTCTCCCAACTCTGCAGAAAATATGAAGAACTCCTACAGAAAGTTGAAAAATAAAAGAAAGCATGTTTGCTGCTGGCTGCACTTTTCTACATCAAATTTGCATCAAATTAAAGGGAGAATAAAATATTAGTAAGGGAATATGATACTTTGCAGTGCAAAGACATTGCCTAAAAGCAAATTCCCATTAGAGAGACAAAAAGCTGTTTCTACATAATAAACTGGTGATTAATACGAAATGGAATGAGATTGTGGTCTCAGTCTTCTTCCCAGCAGAAAAAAAAGTCACAACCTCACTTTCAGCAGACAATTAGGGATGTGAAGACAACTACTCTGAACTGCTCTCTTTCTCCCCCGTTGTCTCATCACAGCCAGAGTGAAGTCTCATTCTTATCACTCATTAAGGTACCCAAATTTCAAGTTGTTCATGTAAATATGATTTACACTTTTAGGTCATGTAAATATTTCAAGCAGCAACATTTTGGTATCTCTTATACACATAAAATGTACTTATATTTTTGAAGAAAAATCTGGCTAGAGTACTTGGGGGCTTTGCTGAAGCAGTACAAGAAAATGCATCAAAGTCTTTGAGATTAGAAGATGAAACTACTTTTTTATACAGTTATCATTAAACAAGACTAAATTTTCAAAAATAATACTTCTCTACTTAGAACTTACACAGGCAAATACTTTTTCTATTTTAAACTGAGTATTTTAAACCAGTTTCAAAGTCCTTCTCATAAGTTTTTTCAGATACATTGCACAAGGGTAATTGCTATTTTTTATATTTTGCATTGAGTAGTACTTTGAGAAATGACCCAAATAAGCAGCAAATATGAAAAGAGGGGGAAAAAAATCAATCCATTTGTGCAGCTCTGAGACAAGCCTTTCCTCTCCCTCCCATGGCACCATAGTGCTGTCTACAGTAATGACGGGGGCCATTTGTAAAAAAATATTACGGTGCCAAGATTAACTTCTGCTAGAACCATGTTTAAAAAAATGAGTTATTCATCAGCTGGAATCCAGAAAACCATATTGTTGCTAGACCTAGTCTGTGCACTCATTAATAAAGCCAGTTTCTAATGTGGCCATATACTATCTGCAGAAAATTCTTCTCCCCAAAGAAAAAAGTACTTGGGGCCTTTTGCACTTATCAGTTGCTATAAGAGATCAGTGGTTGTTTAAGAGCAATCAAACCTTCAGTCAAAGGCCTTCCAAAGAAATCATGCTAAAACTTTTTGGAATGCTGCCCACTGTGAAACAATTTGAGTTTTGGTGAACACATTTACCAGATCTCAGCTGTGTGCTATCCTTTCACTTTGCAGCTCACAGTACATTGCATACACGGAGTCGAACACCAGAAGAGCTCTTCTTGCTGGCACATCCTCTGTTATGGCACCAAGCTTTACCCTTCTGCTTTCCTTGGGCCTTTCCCCGACCCGGCTGTGCAGCAGATCCCACTGGGACCAGCTGCAGCTCAGGCCCTGGACAGGTAGGTTGGTTGAGAGGTTATGTTGCAAACCCCTGCAGCTCAGACACAGAGAAGCACAGAGTCCCTGGCTCCGTGCACAGGACCAGACCCACCACTTCCAGGCATTACCAAACCTGAGAATCTACAGCAGCACCCCACAGAATGTATGGATGTCAAAAAAACCCATTGATTTTAAACTGAGAGCATGGGATGGGAAAATAAACATTCTCCTTGCAGCAACTAGGAATGTCTTTTCCTGAAAACTGGTGACAGATGAAAAAAAAGCTTTCCATCCAGCAACTAAATTATTATCCAGCATACCAGCAGGACTCTGTGTGCTGTTACAGAGTGGGACAACTCAGGCCATTTGTATCAGTAGAAAGCTTTTAGGGAATCATTCTGGGACGTGCATGCAAGAACAGATGACTGATGTCCAAGAGAACCTAGGACTCAGGCTAAACAAATCAGTAAATTGAAAAAACCCAAGTACTCCAAAAGCACATCTAAAATTATGACCATGTAGAGAAAGCTCTGCATACGAAAAAATGCAGGGTATTTTTCCTGATCATATTTTGGGTACATAAGGCATTGCCTAAAAATGTAACAAAATCCCACTTACTTTGGAAATTAAGGTAAAAGAACAATAAATATTAGGCAGATGTAACCAATTGTAACAACAATATGGGAAGGCAGGGAAATCTGAGAGTGTAAAAGTGAAATCAAACTTGTTTAGCTCTTTAAACACTTGAAATTTAATCGTAACTAAATGGCTATGGTTGCACTTCAGAGTAACCAAAATAGCTCTGTAAGATTGAGGTTATATTTAATTAGTATTCAAATCCTAATAATGCAGCTTAATTTCTCTTTATTACAGCCATAACAGTGTATGAATGAAGCATTTCTGTACCTACATAACCCAGCTGCCTTTTTAGTTGAAATGAGAAGTTCCTCCAATGCCTTAGACAAGCATCAACTCCGAGGTATTTACTTGCAGGTCATGTGAAAAATGCAGGAGAACCATCATATAAATTATTATTTTCCAGAATTTATATAAATAAATGAATAAATATGAAAACAGAAATGGAAGAAGCATACAGTGCTCTCAAAAATACACAACAATAATTCCAAATATTCAACAAATTCCATAGCTTCTGCCTCCAGGCCCTCATTTTAAAAAGGTTTGATAGTCCAGAGAAATAGATAGAAAAGATTTCTCTTCTTTTCCTGCCTGGTAACATCACTGGTAGTATTTTTCTTTGACATTTGTCCATGTAGGCAGGAAAACCCCTGTCAGTGATACACAAACTATTCAGAACAGCTCATGGTTTTAAAGTGGCATTTTACACTGATCAACAATATCTCAGAGAGGAAAGTGGACTCTGCCTCAAGCTCAACTTCAACTTATTCATAAAATACAACTCATCCAAGCTTGTAGGTTATGTCAATACTACAAGATGCTGTAAGTCTGCAGACTTGGGTTATTTTTGCTCTAACGGCATTTTTAAGAAGCAGCTGGGAGAGATTGCAGGAGAGAGGTGAAATGCAATATTGTTTTATGGATTTTTCTCTGAACAGGGAATGTAGCTGGCTCGGATTTTCTTTTCCCTCTAAATCTTTAAGCAGGTGAAAACAGCACAAATATGGGTGTGATTTACTTTTTAAGGTGAAATTCTTCTGGCTTCTCAGATAAACTAGAAATCTCATTCTTTCCCAAAGACGTGAAAGTCTGATGCAAGAAATGGTAAAAACAGACAACATTCCAGCTGATGCACTGCTGGAACATCAGCATATTGCATCAAAAGCAGAGGCAATGGTTTCCACTTTCATCTTCTGTGTTTTACTTTATCCTTTTACAAGAAATTACACCACTTATGAGCAACAGCTCCTCGACAGCATTACCTGAGGAAAATGTTTGATCAACTTTTCCAGTGCAAACACCTCCTATGCTATTCCATCTAGTTTAGCAATTTTATATAGAAGAATTGGCATATAGAGTCTATATTAGAGTCTTTGGTGGTTGTGCTGAGAAGGAGGATTCCCAGATATGTCCTTAAAATTCATTCTTCCTATAGAGGAACTTTTGCAAAAGGGCATTGCCTTACTTTTAAGCAGCAGCATCATAATCCAAATAAAATAGAAGCTTTAGAACACCTTCTGCAGAGTCAAAGCCAGATTTCTTTCACTTGCACTAAACATTCTCAACCATATAATAGTTAAAATAACTCAAAGTAGCGTAAATAACAACTACAAAAAGTTGTCCTTGCAGGCAGATTATGGCACAAGGTTTAGAACAGTGATCTACAGCTGACACAAGTGCTGCATGTTTTCCCTTGACCCTTGCAGAAGTTAATGGCAACTGTCAGCACTTGAAACTCCAGAATGTTAGGCCATGACTTTATCTTAAATAATTACTAGAAACAAAATGCAACCATTTATATTCGCCCTGCTTGAGCAGATGCTTCAGCCTCATGCAGGCTAAGTGCACATGCCCTGAGATAAATGAGCTGCATGGCCATGAGGTGACCACAGTGCAGGGGAGGAACAAACAAAAGAATTTGTTCTCCTCTGCATCCCAGTTTTACTGACCCATATGCATTGTCCTGGGCAGCTGCTGTAGATGAGAAAGGCCACTGAGGAAAATGCATGTTATTCATGACCAACACCAGCATGGCAAGGCTGTCCAGGAAGCAGCCAGGGACCACCAGAGCCTGCTCTGTGACTTGCAGTGTGACCAAGCCTGCTGTGAATGTCCTCAGCTGGTATCTGCATGCATGGCTCTTAGCAGCTGACATGGGATCTGGTGGTTCTGGTTATAGGGTACAGACTGCTCTAGAGCTAAAGTTCCCTTGCAGGGAGCAAGTTTTCTTCCTGCTACAAACGAAAATGGTTACATTCCATTTTACCCTTACATAGCACACAACAATAATTAATAGTTCTCCTATATATCATTATGTTTTATGTGGTTGAAGACTTTGACTTTCAACCAGACTAGGATTTCTAAACCTTTTATTTCTATTCCTTTCCTTCTTTTCTTCACCATGTTTCTGTCTTCGATACAGGGAGGTGAGGTGTCCAGACTAGAGCCATAGTCCTCTGGAGGCTTTGGCATTCTCAGCTAAGCACAGTAATTATTTCCGTCTTACAACTGACATTCCCAGTAATGAGGCTGCAAGTGACATTTGCCCTTTCTTCCAACACAATGAAGGTAATGAATCCCACAATATTTGCAGTCCACTATAAAGCTAGATTATTTTTCTGCAGTATTGTCAATTTAGCTACTATTTACCATCTTTATACATAAATCCAACTATTTTTCTCCCTCAAATGTAATTTGCACCTGTCTTTCAATATATCCCTTCTTATTGATTTCAGACTATTCTTTCAATCTATCAAGATCATTTGGAACTCTAATCCTAATTGAAATTATGTTGACTGGCATATAAACTGCTGGCCTACCTCCTTTTTAAAGGCAAACACAAAGTCTGTCTTTACTCATCCCTTGGGACTTCAAGCTTCCTCTAGGAGTTTTCAAAGGAGCTTGTTAATGGTTTGGAGATTGTTTTTCTTGGCTCCTATGTGCTCAGGAGAAATTTCATCAGTCTAGCCTGACTTGAGTACATCTCATTTGCCTTTGGATATTTTACTCTTGCTGCCTTGTAGTGAATACTAGGAGCACTACTTAATTGGACGTAGCTTATAATCTTTAGAAAGACCAAAAGCACAGAGAGTAAGGAAGAAAAAAAATTCTGATCTCATTTATTTTCTCTTTCACCATTCCTTAGAAAAGTGCTTCACCTTTCACCTTTTATGCTTTCTTTCACCTTTCCCTTGGATCCAACTTGTCCCTGAACTCCCTTGCCATTTCACATGTCTTCTGTTTGATGTAGCTTAGCGTGCTCAGGGGTCTTGCTGCTTCACACTTACACTGAGCAGTATCCTTCTAGGCTCATTCTTACAAACACTTTTGTCCTTTCCTTGTCAAAACTTTTGAGCCACTGAAAAACTGCTGACGTAGTCTGTGACTGTGTTTGCACTTTTCTGCACCAAAAGAAGATGGTGCTGGTCTATAAACCTGATGTCTTTTGGACAGTACCAAAGAATATCTGCTGATTCCTTCTTCTACAGAGTTTGTCCCACAGAAACTCTCCTGTTGCTGCCCTGATTTTGTTTAGATGAGCTTTTCTTTCATGGAAGTAGCTACCTAACTTCTCTCAGAAGAGGGATCAAGGTTGTTTCCCAATTACTTTTGTTCTTATCACCTTCCACTTACAGACTGCTCCCTTGTTCCATCAGTGTGGCTATATACATTTAGGAGACTTCAGCACTACAACACACTCCCCACTTTCTCATATGCAACAATTTAGGCATAAAGCCTTCCAGCCAGCTGTGACCTACCTCTTTCCCACCATAACATGGTTTTCCCACACTCCCTTTGCTTGCACTGATCCCTAACCCTTCTCCACATGGGAGTGTTAAATGACTCATCAGAATTACAGTCCGAAGTTGGCAATTCTTCCCTTTGTGTATCTCCCATTACAGCTACACAGGAGTGTCCCTGGAAAAGCATCTCTGCAGGAATAGAGTTTTTCACTGCCTTCCAGCACCCTGCTGTGGCCTGACAGCAGTCTTCCTATTCTCATCCCTACTAAACTGAAGATATTCCCTAATTGCAGACTTTCTAAAATGAGAGCACACTACTGCACTGGCTCATTTAATTACACTGGGACAATTCCAGCTCCTGCTGCGGGAGGATGAGGCTATTTACTGACTAACCAATAAAAATTCACAGTGGGTCAGGACTTGGAAAAAGAAACAAAAGTACCGAACTGATTTCCTCTGTCCACACCCTGCTGTGCAAGGAGTCAGTAGAGCTGGGTTTCATTTATGGGTGGTTCCTAGTGTTGTTCATTCCCATCTCTGCTCCCAAGTCACTAAGATGCAACAATCAGGAATGACTAACTGGGTGCTCTCCTGCAGGGAGCGGGGAGACTGACCAGAGCAAATTAGGGGACCAGAGCACCAAAGGTACATTTAGGTAAAACCTTGACATGGTACAGGCTGCTGACACTTTCACAGAGCTTTATGGAGAGCTCTCTACAAGTCACCATCAGTCCAGCTGTGGCAGTGTGGTAGTTTGGCTTTCTAGCATATTTCCTTTTCTTGTATTTCTATCATTGCTTTATATTCTCTTTATGCACTTTCGTCCCCCTCTGCCAAAACTTCAAAAGTCTCTCTGCTCCCGAGGACTTTAAGATATTAAGCTCTTGGTGTGCAATTCTGCAGTGGCAGCCCTGTATACCTGTGAACTCTGATGCCCTCAGTATTTTACCCTGATGGCAGCAGGGCTTTGTGCTGCCTTTATCCCATGGGCTTACCTGTCCCTATTTTATGTCATGTGTGGATACAAGCAGCCACACAGTTTATCTATAATTCACAAAGTTCACTGATCAGAAAGGCCATTTGCATTTTCTGAAAAGTTCACCTTCATTCTCAAGGCTTCCTGTTTTTATTTATGCTGAAATCACCCACAGCCAAGCAGTCTATCGTAGGCGTGCCCTCATGTCACAGTCTCCTTGAACACAAAGTCAACAATCTGATGTTGAATCTTGGTGTTGCAGTTAGATTATCTTTCCTGAATCATTCCAGCTGCTCCACAGTCTTTGGATTCACCAGTGGGAATCTGAAGAAATGCCTCATCTGAATAGTTATCTTAAATTCAATATTTATTTATTTAATATTTGCCTGGTTTGGAGCATTTGTCAGTTGTACTTGACAGGAGGCAGGTATGCTGTTATGGAAGGTGAACTGGGGGTTACTTGTCCATGTAATTTATTTGCTGGCTGGACACAATGCTTGGGGACTGAATTTCCTTACTATGTGAGTTGCAACCCAAGGCATACTGATATACAAATGGACAAGACTGGAACAGTACAGCTCTTAGACCCAGGGTAACCCTCCTTACACATGTATTACCTAAACTCTTAGTTTGTATGTAGACAGATTTCTGTATGTTGACAGGTTTTTCTCATAGGCCATGCATCTCATGTTACTCAATTATCCTAGCTTTCTTAAATACATGCACTAGGTTCTGAGATCTTGTTATTTATGAAAATGGTGTAAAATTACAAATTCCAGTATTTTCATTTACATGAAACTCCTATTACTGTGTATTCTGCTGCAGTATGCTTGTATACTTCAAAAATAAATTCAAAGGTATTTTTAGTGGCACACAAGAAAGCAGACTAAGCATCATGATTTTGTTCCATTCCTAAGCATCATGACAGTGCTACAGTGGGGCTGCCTAAATATTACTGGTTCTTCTTTTCCCCAGTATGTTCATCCTGTCGTTGGTATGTGTTAAAAATATTAGCCCAGGTTTTAACTATAAGCTCCCTGAAATACTCAGCAATTATGCCATTATCTTCAATGGAAAAAAAATAAAAAAAGGAATGGGCCCACTCTGGTTGTGATTGTGCTGCTTTTCCAAGTTCTCACACAAGTGCAATTTCTATGCAAAGGTAACACTGTAAAAACAAGTGTCATTTATTCTAATGGAGACAAAGAAAATGCTCTACAATATCACCACTTTATACTGCCCAGGAAACACTTACCTCAGATAAATGACCCTCTGTTCCAAATGAAATGTCTTCCATAACCTGTTAGAGATAAATTATTAAGTATATAGTAAATACATGCTATATAAACAGTATGATTTTAATGGAACTTATAAAAAACATATAGAACAATAAAAAGTTATGTAAGCTGAATAATTGCATCAATTTTCTTCACATGCGTGAAAGACTTAAATTGCATTAATGATGGGGCAATGGCAGCCACCCAATATCTAAAACTATATTTGAATACATTTTATTAAGGCCTGCTTTGGCTTCTCACTTAAAACCCACAAGGAATATAGTCTCTAAAACTGAAGGACTAACTGTGGATTGAAACAAACTTTTCTATCAAGCTCTTGTAGATCTGTACACCATTCAAGAGTCCACAGGCTTTTTTCTTTTTTTTTTTGGTACAAACCCTGTAAACCCTCTCAGGCAGGCAAATGAGGGGTCCAATCAATGTTTCCTATTGCTAACAAATGCTACAGTCAGTTCTTCCTTCACAATTTCCTTCATCTGTGAAGTCTATAAGAAATTAGCGAACATTTCATTGACTGGCTGAGGAGCAAAGAAATTTGATCACTGGAAGAATCATCATCATTGGGAAATCATTAATACTAATCACACATAATAGTGTTGTTGATAATAAACTGAGCTAGGGATACTGCTTTGGTATGCACACACACACATACATATATAGATATACATAATAAAAGTGCAAAATCTGCCAGAAAATCACAATTGTTACTGGATACTATTCTCAGCAATCAATCTGAAAAAAGGTTTAAATTTCTCTTGCCTGTAATATCAATTTTCTGACGGTATTTTTACTGGTAAATTACACGTAAGCATTAAGCTTACTGAGGTGCTACAATCCCTACCTAAAGAGCCAGCATTTTTAGCAGCAGAGCTCCACCCCAGGCTCAGATGCAGCTGAGGAGCCCCATGCTGCACAGCTCCACACGTGGCTGTGCACTGAGGATCTGACCGCTGTCTACAAGCCAGCTGCCTCCTGCCACTGACATCCTTTTTCAGCTTGGATCAATACAAGAAACGCACAAACGCTGACTTTCACTAATGCGTCATGCTGACATTTTAAAATAAGATTAAATTTTAAATTTCCAAATTATTTTCTAAGCTCCACAAATACAGCATTTAATTAAAGCTCAAATGAATACACAGTTTATTTAGCTTTCAAAAGGCTTTGTCCTTTACACATTACACATTTGCCTCCTGGACCAGAGGCTATCCCAAAGCACAGTAATTGGTTACAGTCTTTCTTGGTGCTTGCTAACACTAAATTCTGAAAAATGTTGTATCACATTCTGTGATAACTTCTTTTTAATGGCAGACATCACATTAAATATTATTTTTTGTTCTTTGTTATCACTTAGACCTCAGTAACTTTACAAAATTTAATCACATGAAGGCTTTACAATTATAGAGCATTTTCCAAACATCAGAGTGATCTTCAACCAACCCCAAAATATCATCCCAGGTGGCCAAACTGAAGTATGCAGAGAAGAGGAAAAAGACAGCTGGCCTGATCCTTATCCCTGTTCTTTACTTCCTTTGTGATGAAAAAGTGAGAAATTAACTACAAACAATTCTGATGGGACAACTACCAAAAACGCTGACTTAGAGAAGGTAAAACTAGTGAATTTTGGATTTTACCTTGTAACTTTAATCACCTGAATTTTCTTGAAATCTAGTAGGTGTTTCTTTCCTTCATAGTGATTAAGAGGGAGCACTGCACAGCATGCCAGAGAGCAGAAGAAGAAAAAAGGATAGGTCAGAAACTCAAGCCTGCAGGTGCACACATAGCCATGTTCATTAGGTTACTTGCTGTTAGGGAGGTTCCAGCACACACAAATCTCTCAGTTTATTAGTGATCACTGGTGATTTTGCTGTTTTTAAAAGCGTTTAATGAAAGTGTTTGCTTACACATATATTATCAAGAAGCAAAAAAAATAAAGCAAGGTATTATAAGGAGTGGAAGAAGCAGGCATTAATATCTGAAGAGAAATGACATGGTGCTGTATATTTTAGAAATCACCCAGATTGCATCTAACCATGTAGTAACGATCATTGCAATTTCCACCTCACTCAGTTCAAAAGTATGGAACGTAAGTGGGATGAAAACTAAAACCCAACTTAAATTCCTCAGAGACTTAGAAGACAATCAAGCCAAATAGTCAAAAAAGTCAAATTACAATTAAAAAGATGGGACAACCTAATTTCATCAACACAGCAACCAGCTGGAAAGTACACATTTATAGGAGAATTCAAGAATCTACATCAAATACATTAGACAAGCTGACTTCCACATGACTGAGGGTAGCAATATTGTCTGCAACTTTGCTCCAGTGTTTTTCTAATGCTATAGCCTAATGAGTTATCTTCAATTGAGCGAAGCACATCTAATTTTAGTAACTCAGAGTGGTTCACAGGATGATTTTTGCTGGCCCCACTTTATTTAGTTTTCACCAAAATATCATTAATGATGTTTCAACAAATTGAGCTGACAATGCATTTGATTTTCATCCCTAGTTAACAGTCAGTGTTATAAAGGAAGCCTGATTTACTGAATTATTTTGGGATGCCAGTCTACCACATAAAAAAAATCAGCAGTGTCTTTAAAAACACAGTTATGAAAACTATAAAATAACTCTTGAGTTAATAAAACTGTGCTCACATGATAGTAAAATAACAAACTTTCAAAGAATTTATGCCTTACATATTTTCTATACCAGAACATGTCATATTTTATGATTTAGTGAGGATATTTAATTAAAAATGATAAATGGTCCCTCTATAAAGCAGTATCTGAGGATCTATGAAATGGGCTCTTTCTTCTATTTTGCTTTTATTATTATTGTTATGTTTCTTACTTAGTTCTCCTTGCTTTCAAAATAAACCTATAGAGTAAGATACAGTTATATGCAAGAAAACTATTTAGAGTACACATCAACAAAACCAATATTCACCTGGCACTAGTGCTTAGCTCTATATGACACAGTAAATAACCGGAGAGCTTAATTTGTAGAATTCCACTGTAAAGTAAATCAATCACCTGGGGATGTAATGTACTTTCCAAGGCATATATGCACATATGTTATTATCAGCCTTTCGTATACTGTCTTGAAATAATTAATTCAGTAACCTCTAAGTACAAAGAACACCACTCTTTCCTGCTGCTTCAGTGGCCAATGGTGCTCTCTAGAAACTCCCTGAGGGGGAACAGAGGTTGTGACACAGTTGAACAGAATAGTCATTCCAGAAACGTGGCAAGCACAGCAAGCTACCCCTCTCACAGGGGCACCACAGCCTTGTTAAATAATATGAAACCACATATTTTGACAAATGCATGCTTTACTATTAGGTGTCCTTGCTTGTTGATAAATGGCTATGAAAAGGTTCCCTGCTAATGGCAAAGAATAAGTTTTTCCACAGAAGTCATAAATGGCTAAATTGAGAGACTAAGCACCACATCACTTTTTTTTTGCCATAAATATTGAATTATTTTTAAATAAAAAGTCACTACCATATAACAGAGCATTTAAATGCTTCAGAAGTTGTTTGTTTTTCAAATCCATTTACAAATCAAGATTTTTTTTTTGCACTTCAACATGTTCAAAACCAGAAGGTAGTATGATTTGTGTCAGTTTTTTTCGTTTGCTTTTATATTCTGGCTTGTGATGAACTACTAAGAGATGTCAGGGAATAATCTGTTATGGCTCTTCTCTAAAAGTTTAGACACTGCCTGTCACTGCAAATACAGTTTGCTCTTCCATTCAAGACATGGGGAACCATCCCTCAAGGCTCACACATTTCTCCACAACCAGAAGTCATCTCACTTCAGCTGCCCAGCTGCCATTCTTGGATAGCAAGTTTGATTTCCAGGGAAACAATCTGGGCTTGCAGGGGTGAAAGAGGTGATAATCTATAACACAAATATCAGGAGTTCTACAGAGACAATCACAAAATCTCAAACACTCCAGAGCCTCTAAATACTTTTGAAAGAGGAGCACAGCTTTCCATAACCAACAGAACTCCTCATATTATTTCAGCAGACTCATAAAAAATATGGTAAGGCAGTGATGGGGGTGAAATCAAAGCCAAGCTGATCATTTCTAATAAAAATGTTCTCTATGTGAAGCCGGTCTGTAAACCATTTGCCCTGGAAAAAGACTGCAAGAACTACTGAAGCCCATTATAAAACCAGAATTTTACTCACAAGAGGAGATTTTACAGTCAGGTATGGGTCTGCTTTTCACTAAAACTCAGCCAGTATAAATGCAAAATTAGGCATCAGATTTCAGAGCAACGCACAGTTCAATGGCTCTTACTATCAGATGCAATTAAGCATAATTTAAATTTTTTCAACTTAATTCCATGGTAATAAAACTTACAACTGCTGTTGGTGGGTCTTTTTGTCACAGTGGTGCTGTTGGGTGATGAAGCTTTTTTAACAGCTTGTTGACATAGGCAGTACAGTTAAAAGACTACTAGATAATGGTTGGTTTTTCAAGCAGGGATAGCATTTCAGATCAAAACATGAAAACATAAAAGAAATTTGTCAAACCTTCTAAGCTTTATGATTTTTTCCTCATAATTGTTTAATAACTGTTGGATGCTGTAAGCCTATTAGCATCTATTAGCTCAGAAGTCTTTGACCATTTCACTAAGGGAAGAAAAGTAACTCTCTCTCCATATCAGCTAACAATGATCCAGGCTAACAAGTCAGCAGAACCAGCTCAGAATGAAACTCTTCAGTGAGATGGGGAGCAATTGATAATTTTGGTCAAATACTTAATAGTTTTTCCTTTAAATCCTGATGTACTTTGGTATTCATTGCCTGAATAATTTCTGCATTTTAAAAAGACATGGTAAAAGGGAAAAGGGTTGAGGGACTTCTGAGAAGCTAATAAGCTATTTTATTCACGTCCCAGATTGAAAGCCAGATGTTAAGTTCATACTTAACCTGCCCTGCTGACTCATCACAAAGATTCAACTCCTCCTCTCAACAGGAAAACCAGCAGTATCCCTTAAATGCAGCTGCAGACTATTCCAGATACCTCTTTCAGCTCCCTGTGTTTGGAGCAGGAAACAGCACCCCACTCTGTGCCCTTTAGAAAGTGACCTTCTTTTCTTTTTTCAGAATCAGGTGGGGCATCAGCAGTCATCTCCATCTCATCCATTTGGTTCTCTTCTTCCTCAGAAACACAGCAACTGGTTTCTCTCAGCTGAAACCCTCGGATCAACAGCTGACAGGCCTCCAAGTCAGCTTCCCACACTCTTTGGAGCAGCTGGCTCCCACAGCTGAAATAAAAGCCAAAAGAAAATAAAACTGCAGTTCAGGGAGAATAGTTGCTATTTCAAGTAACACTTGCAGTAACTGCTTATTATAGACAGAAAAGTAGAAAAAAACAAAAAACCTAACAGGACCTCAAATACTCCCACAGAGATAACTTTGCTGTATCAAACTGAAAAGCAGGAAAATTATTGCCCTATTACAAACTGGATGATAGAAAAACCTCCTTGGGTTAGGATGTTCCTTCAAACTGTACAGCAAACACTGGCTACATGAGACATCCTTCTGTTCTTCAGACACAGGTTCAGGGGCTTTGCCATCATAAGCAGGTCTTCTTTCACAGTATCACATACACAGCCTGTCATCCCACACCCACGTGGCTTTCCTGAGTTTGACACAGAAGATCGTGTGTGATGTTCATTAAATCAGGTCTAACTTTTGGAAAATAGTTACACTAAATTTCTTATTAGACTAAAATGGGCTTACTTCAGCACTGGTGAATCAGGTTAGACTAAACCACAATGTCACCCTTTTTTGGGTTTTATGCTTTTGAGTGTTGTCATTATCTCTTACTAATGTGCTTTGGTTTCCTTCTACTTTGTTATGCCACCAAAACAAAACCAGAATTCAAAATACAAAGCCTCTGTAAACTTTTCATCCATTAATCATCTCTCAAACATGTAGATTACAAATAATGCTCCTGAGATCCATCCAGAAGTTATTTCCACCTCAATAAAATGGGAATTTTAAGTGTAGATAGATTCTGAGAACTGAATACTAACATCATACTGTTTGTAAATTATGTGGTCACATCTCCATTTGATACATGTTGTCTCTAAGGAACCAAATGAGTAGGTTGCTAGCTAAAATATAGTAGATCAGTGTCAGAGCCTGGGATGGGACTGAGAAGTCCTATGGCAATACACCATACACTTCCAGACAGATTTCAATGCTAATAACTGCAATATTTTTTTCACTGTTCTTTTTCAAATTATATAATTTACTATATAAATACTATATTGTGAGAAATTATGTCTTAAAAGAAGAAAAATAACCATTTGATTTTAACTTTTCCGACTAAACTAAATACCAGCTTATCTTTTACCCCAAACAAAGGAAAAAGAAGCTGCACTTCTCACAATGAGTTCATTAAACTAACACAAGTATGTTTTTAACTCCACAAATTCTACAAGATGCCAAGCTGTAAAAATCACACAGCAATATACTGAGACTGAGAGCAAAATCAGGCTTCAGAAGCTGAGCTATTTGATTTGCACTTAAGAGTCAGTATATATGTTTATTGAAGGCATAATGCAGCAAGGGGTCCACAAATTGGTCTCCCCCAAGGAGTTCAAAGTATCACTAATTAGAAAGGGGAAAATGCTTCACTGGATTACATGTCTGTGTTCTATCCAGGTAGCATTTCACTTACCGAGCCAGAAAAATAAAATAACCCCTGCTGTTTCCTGACTTGTCAATCACATTATCATAGTTACACAGTCAAAACATTTTCCTGCAGACATACATAAGCCCATTTACTTGCTTTTTGCAAATGTTTGTTTGCATCTATATATAGCTTATTATTAAAGGAAAAAAAAAAACCACTCTAGAGAGCTAAATCAGAATTTCTAAAGGATAAATTGTTTTGGCTATTTAATTTAATGGAGGGCTTTACGGACAAAATTGGGGCAGAGATGGTGACGTATGCAGGATGTCACAGTGGGGAAGGTGAACAGCATGTGTAAGAGTACAGCATAATGGTGCCTGGGCTGCTGTTATTTGGCCCTGACTCAGCGCATTGGTCAATGTGGTTTTGTCTGTGTCTAAGTTTTAAATGCATTTTAGTAATCAGCAGTTACTGAATCTACCGCTAACAGATGGCTGCTGTGCTGCTGTCCGAGTTTCTCTACTGCCCCGGGCTTTTATTTGAAGGACATCATTGTTTTATCATGGTATTTGTAAAACTCTGATACATCTTGAACTAAGATGCTAAGATGTTATGCTGAATTTTTCAACCAAAATCAGAGAATGCAGGTACACTTAGACACTCTGAACAGATCTAAGCCAAACATATCAAGGCTCCACCTTTTAGTCTGTATTTTGGAATTCAGTGCCTTGAAGCATTTTTCAAACACACTTTTGCAATGAAAATTACTTTAAAGCCGCAAATAGCTAATACAGAGACACATTCAAATGATTATTATTATGTTGTCCCCAGCATGCAAAAAACTTTAGCATTTACATTGGGTGTTAAAAATTAAACTGAATTTCAGAGTTTGGTTTATTCATTTTCAATCCACACTAAAAGTGCATTTGCAGTCTCCATGAAGCCTCCATGGCTGGCTGTACAGAACACAGTGAGATTTTTTTCAGGTATGAAACATTTCAAAATGATGGATCGTGTCTGGATGAGATTTTACATTATTCCTATACTTATAAATATTTCATGATGTATCAACACCTCTAGGTGTTATATGCCTGCCTGTATATTACTATCAAAGTGGCATATGTGGCAAGTTCAATGAAGGTGTCTGGAACAATCTGCTGGAATCCACAACAAATCACAATCCATCAAGCATTTACATAGACCCAGTGACACAAAGCATACCTTAATCACCTGCTGATTCTGAACTGCCAAGAGTCAGAGTGCCAGGCTTTGTACAAACACCAAACAAACACATTAGAATGATGGCCTTTTCCTCAAAGCAACTTTTCTCTTTCAAACCATCAGCAAGAGCTAGGATACAGATGAGCATGTTCAAAGAAAGACAGTGGACTGGACATGGCATGTTAGTTACAGTACTGCAGTTTCATTAGTTACATGAGTAACTAATTAACCTAAGTGGTGCCAACAACACTGAGGCATCACAATGAACAAGCATTTCAAGGATTTGTGGGAGGGTAATGAAACATGCCATTAGATGCCCAAGATCTCCATCCCTTCCCAAAAGAATTATGTAAGGTAAGAGATGCTAGTATAAGAATACAAGGGACAAGTGATTGTCACCAATGTGGTTTAACATCTACAGAGGAAAGTCTGTCTTCTCATGTTAAAAAAAAAACTGAGTAGGGAGTTAAAGACTCTGAGTAGCCCTGACACTGGAAGCTAGTAGTTAGTGTTGATGAGACAGAACAGGACTCAATGGAGAAAAACAAAGTGAAATGGAAAAAAAGACAGAAGTGTTCATTTTGAATGAATGAGAGTAGGACAAGACTGCTTTTGTCAAGTCACAGCCAGGGAAATTGATGATGAAGTAAGTGAGATGCAAGTCTCTACATGAGTAATTTTTTAGCTGCATGAATAGCTGGGACAGGTTTTACCTCAAGGATACTGTGAAGAAAGAATCTACAAGAACAGGCCTAAGCTGACTTGAAGAATGGCTGAGACACCCACAGCAACACAAAAGGACGCAGCAGACAGAATTCTGCATCAGGTTAAGTTGATGATGATGAAAGGGCTGTCAGAGAAACAGGGCTGTTTATGGGCAGGAGGAAATGGATGTGGAACACAGAGGCTTATCCTTGAGCTCTCTTCATAAAGTGGCAATTGACACTGTAATTGCAGTTGCCTTTACTAAGGCTCAAGCAATTTTATAGAAAACATGACCAGGGTAAAAGTAAACTAGAGGATATCTCTCCTCTACTTGTGATGCTGGCTGAAATTTATGTCAAGAGACATAACCACCAAGGGTTCTCTCTCTTTTGAGCTCCAAAGAACATTGCTCTTCTGCCTTTTGACAAGATTCTGGGAGGTATCTGTGGGGGCTCTCTAGGGCTCTCAGCACAACATTATTCTAAAGCTATTTATAGTGCTAACTGGAACTACAAGAACATGACTTTTCTTTATTGAGGGCTCTGTATACATACAAAAGGCACATTCAGTTCCTGAACATTGTAGTCTAAATGAAAACATGCCTGTGTAAAAATAGTAAAAAGATTTTATATTAAACTCAATTAAAAAAAAAAAAAAAACCAAACCCAAAGCAAAACAAAAACCAAAACCACAAAACCAAAACAAAACAAAGTTCTGCAAAACCTCCTCAAAAGTATATTGGAATCAACACAGGAAGATGCCACTGATTCTAAATCTCACCATTTATAGTCTTCAGGAATGCCCCTTGGTGAGTGAATTGTTACAAGTGGTTTATAACACCCTGAGGTCAACACGGTGTTGCTTATTTCAAGGGAAACCCCTGTAAGAACCCTAACAATGAAGGCCAAGAGAGTGAGACTGAAGCTAAAAGGTTACACAGCAAGACAACTACTGAGAAATGGCATAATTTAAATGTAACTTAGGAGGTGAGATCAACCATCACTGAGATATTCTAGATTACTTCCTTTTAATAGGTGAGCCACATTAAGGTACATTTTCAGGAAACCATGTACTTACCTTCTCCCAGTACCTGGCACATATTTTAACTTTGCATTCACTGATCCTAAAATCAGTTTTCTCTGACAAAAAAAGTAAACAAAATGCAACAAAAATAGTCTGGCAGAAACAACAGGGATTTTCATTACAACAATTAAAATTATTGAGGCTTTCATAAAATGGCACTGTGAATCAAAAGACTTTATTCAATATCCCCATTCTTTATTGAACCATTGTACAAACTAGGGAAAGTTTTTCTATATTTTGGTCACTTGCTTCTATTTCTATTTTGCACCACAGGGGAGGAATGAGCTCCTCTCACTCAACATCTAGCTATGACTTTTTTTCCTTTTCTCAAGGCAAATAGCCATGCAGTGAACAAAGGAGGTAAGCAAAAGAGTGTATCTGCTAATGATATTTAGAGGATAAAAGGCAATGGTATTGTTTCACTCTTAACAGAGCCTCACCTTTTTATTTGATTCATCACATTTATTCACAGTCATGTGTTAATAATTCTTCTTATATTTAACAAGTATTTACTATTCCAGAAATATGCTTTACTTCTCTTTTTCATTAATTTTTTTTAAAAAGAACTTTCCAGTCTGATCAGTTATTGTTCTTTAACCTTGGCTGTTACAT